AATTAGGAACAAGCTTGCTTCACATGTCAATCCCCTCTCCCTCTCCCTCCCCTCCCCCAACCTTTCTCCCTCTGCTCCCCAGGGAGGGTAGGGCCCTCCACAGGGGCTCCCCAAAGTCTGTCATATCATCCTGGGCCGGGGCTAGGCCCTCCCCCATGTGTCCAGGCCGAGAGAGCATCCCTTCTTGTGGGATGGGCGCTCAAAGCACATCACAAACTTGTATTACGTTATATTTTAATAAAATGTACAACTTCTAGTGTACAACTTCTAGTCTCTTACTATGCTAGATTTGGAAAAATTTACTATAATTGTGTGTGATAATGCTAAATACAAGCTACTTCTGTACTCAAAACTATGTAATAATTTGAGTGGGATAGAGCTATTTGAATTTTTTTGAATTTATTATAGGTGATAGATTCCGCAGTATAATAGATGATGCCTGGTGGTTTGGAACTGTGGAAAGTCAGCAGCCTTTTCAGCCAGAATATCCTGATAGCTCTTTCCAGTGTTACAGTGTTCAGTAAGTATAGCTCATTCGTGACTCTGATAAATACTGTCTCTTTATATCAACTTTTTTCACATAAACATTGTTTTCTAAATAGATCATTGTATTCTTTCCTACAGGTTAATTTTATAGATATATTCTTGATGACAGTATCAGCAAAGAAATAAAACTACTATGAAAGAGTGGGCTTCCACCTTCTTAGCTTTATATTGTTCTAGCCTGTTTTCTTTACTAAGTGGTTTATTACTATCTTTATATAAGCAGAGTTGTACTTTCATGACTACTATGTTGCTTTTTTTCTAAACTTCACCCTCAAGAAATCATGCAAATGATGTTACTACATGAAAGGAAATGCTTGGGAATCTGATTTGCATCTTCTTCTTTTGTTGATAGCTGGGACAATAATGAAAGAGAAAAGATGAGCCCCTGGGATATGGAGCCAATTCCAGATGGAAGTAAATATGCCTTTAAAAATTAATGACAATTCTTGGAAAAGCAAGTTGACAGCAGTCTGATGTTGGAAACTAATTGTTTTGGATTTTTCTTGTACCTAGCTGCTTTTCCAGATGAAGTTGGTGCTGGTGTTCCTGTGTCCCAGGAAGAACTGACTGCTTTGCTATATAAACCCCAGGAAGGAGAGTGGGGGGCTCATTCCAGAGACGAGGAATGTGAACGCGTTATTCAGGGCATCAACCACCTTCTTTCCCTGGGTATGGTGAATGTGAAAAAATACAAGAAAAAGAATGGGGAGCTTGGAAAGCCAGCACTTTTAAATGCTGCACAAAGAAATGTAGTTTATCACAGTATACTTTACATTTAATTCAACAGGCACAACGATTTTAGTTTAATTGTAACATTTTATATGTTTGACTGAAGTAATTACTAATCCACTATTTCATCGCTCTGGGGGGTATTAGTGAAGGCAGGCGTGTAAGTCTCTTTTTCTTTCTTGAGGCCTTTTGGCTCTCTAGCTATTTCCTGAGCCTGACTTTGGAGGGGTTCCTGGGTAAAGACAGTGGGTGAGTAATGTATTTTGCCCACATAAATAGCTATATTTTCTAAAATATATCACTGGTGAAGTTTGGCATTTATTCAGGAAACATAAAAGATTGAAATTTGGCACATTTCTCACTTAATTTTGTTTCATTTTACCTAATTTGAACCAATATATCATGCATGATTCAAAGACACTATGTCCAAAGAAAAAGTGACATTAATTTATATAATTGAAGCATTATTGTCTTACAAATTGGGTGTATTGCTCTGCCTTCTTGTTTATATGTGAATATTCACTAATAAGAAATGTTGGTCTCTTTAATAGCTGTTTTTTATTTTTGGTGATTTTTGTAGATTTTGCCAGCCCTTTTGCTGTTCCAGTGGATCTCAGTGCCTACCCCTTGTATTGTACTGTAGTTGCTTATCCAACTGACCTCAATACCATCAGACAAAGACTTGAAAATCGCTTTTACAGGTTTGTTTTGTTTTAGAATGTATTACAGAAGTCATAGTTTTATGTTTCTTGTTCCTTTTAAAGATGTTTTTAATGTCTCATATAATCATCCAAAACATGCTGCAAAGTTCCTTACATTTTATCACACTTCCATACTAAAAATTTATATGGATAAAAAGATAGAGCAGAAAATATAAGTAGCACAATTGTGTGAAACACAAAAACTACAGTAAATTTAGTTTACTAAAGGCAGATTAGGTAGTAATCTACTGTATCATGATCAAGATGCTACAGTGATAATGCAGAATATTGAAAATCCTCCTTGGGGAATTAAACAGTGGATAAATTTAATTGCTAGATACATAAATAGACCAAATTATTTGTTTGTTTATTTTAGCTTAGGAGAGAAATTATTAATGGGTTTTGGAGGTCAGTCCTTGCTCCTTTGTTCAGCCATGCCCACTTTACACTGACAGCAGTATTTCATGAGCTAGTTGGTTTGCCTCTGGTACTAGAGAAATGGGTATATTTTATAAAATAGGTATTATTTCATTTGATAATATATGTCAAACATAACTAGACAAAAATGTGTTTATTTTCCATATGACAGTTTTTTTACTTCCTTCCTACCTTCCTTCCTTTGCCCTTTTGCTTAAACTAAACACAATTTTTGATTTATCAATGCACTTTTTGGTTGGTTTTTATTTATTTATTTATTGTTATGTAGTGGGTCACAGCTGTGGGACTGCATACATATAGAGGTCAGAAGACAACTTTCAGGAGTTGGTTCTCTCCTGCTGTGGGATCCTGAGTGTCAGGCTCAGGTTTTCAGGTTATCTACTGGTCCATGCTGATGTTTTAAGCACACAATATATATGTGTCACATACATGTATTGAAATACCTTTGACATAACATGATAAAGTGCCTAATAGTCTAATAATGCACATTCTCGGCATATAATTCAAATGTATCAGGCCAAGACTAACAGGATATTTTTATTTCATAGGAGAATATCAGCATTAATGTGGGAGGTACGCTATATTGAGCATAATGCTAGGACTTTCAATGAGCCAGACAGTCCTATAGTTAAAGCAGCCAAGATTGTGACTGATGTCTTACTTCGATTTATTGGGTAAGAAGTAGTGTTATCTTCTACAGAGACTGATGTTCTATTTTTTAAATGTTAGAATGTATTTTGCCTTACTTATCTTGTTTCTTAGGGATCAGAGCTGTACTGATATTTTGGATACTTATAATAAAATCAAAGCAGAACTAAACAGCAGTGATGCAGAGGAGGTAAGGATCACAGCTTGATTATGACTATTTCCTTTTTGGTATTTGGGGCACAGTAAGTGTTAATGTAAACTGTAATTTGTTATGAATAGTGAAAATTTAAGGGAGGTAGCTGAACAACTGCATTTCTTATATTAACCTCTTTTGACCTGTATTCAGCTGGTATACACCAAAAGCTTATTGATGTGCTATAGATGTTGTCAGAGATAGGTAGTCAGTCATCCTTGAAACTTGGTGCATTTATATAAAGAACAATTGACAACAGATGTCTAGCCCTTAAAAAAAAGACAAAGCACACATATATTTATTTTATTTGGTTAGTTTCTTGTGTGTTTTAGTCTTTTTCTTTGCACTCAATATTTTAAAAGTGTTTAGTTAGAGCTAGGTGGGGGTGGTGCATGGCTATGATCCCAGCACTTAGTAAGCAGAAGCAGATGAATCTCTGAGTCCTAAGGCGAGCCTGCTCTACAGAGAGAGTTCCAGGACAGTCTGGGCTACACAGGGAAACCCTGTCTTGAACAAAACAAAAAGAAAAAAATGTTTAGTTGATACAAATTTTAGTAATGATTTTCTTTCAATAATGTATGCAAAATAGCAAAAGATCTTTAAATTATGCACTTGAAAGTCTAAATGTTTAGTAGATACATGGAGTTGATATCACATTCCTTTTTGGAAGTTGTAAACACAGTCAATCCTTTTTGAATGAAGTATAGTTAATACTCTTAGCAAGACCATCATGTACCACTAATTCACAATGTTTAGTTGAAAACACTTCATCCCAGAGATAAAATAAAAAATTCAAATATACTAGATCCTAATGGAGGCCCATGAGATATTTTTCATGTTTATTTTGTTGTAGCTAGTCTTTTTTTCAGAGTTTCTTTAGACTGCCAGTTCCCAAATAATGGCATGGAAACATATTATTGATAATGTAAGCTGGGCTTGTTCCTTACTAGCTCTTATAATTTGAATTAACCCATTTCTATTAATCTACATTCTGCCATGTGGCTCTTTACCTCTCCTCCATTCCATATGTCTGACTCCCTTCATATGTCTCTGGTGTCTCCTGCTTCCTTCAGTCTCCTGCCAAATGCTAACCCAGAGTTCCTCTCTCTGCCCAGAAGTCCCACCTATTCTCTCCTGCCTAGCTATTGGCCATTCAGCTCTTTAGTAAACCAATCAGAAGGCACCTTAGGCAAAGACACACCTTTATAATATACAAGAAAAGATTATCCCATAACATTTTGTTTGCATCATTAGTCTTTAAAATAGTAATCCCATGTGACATTTTACTGCTGTAAAATTATGTCTATCAAATAATGCATTTTAATATACCTAAGTGTTATTTATACAAATAATATGGAAAATGTAATATAGCAGTTAGATATTGATGTATTAAAAATCCAAGCAAAATTGTTTTTTCCTTATTTTTTCTAATCGTTTACATAAATATTTTTATTTAGGATTTGATGTAATAAGAATTTCTTCACAAACATGCACTGCTTTGTTTAGAATAAAAAATGGAGGTAAAGCTTGATTTTATTGGAAAGGAGTATCAATAACTCCTGATCTCATTTCTCCTATGTGTTGTGTAGTTGTTTTGCCCTTCACCAGTGGTGCCTTGGTTTTGGCTTTGTGTTGACAAACTTCCCTCTCAGATATAAGGAAAAATTTGTATTTCCCTAGGGAAAATGTGCTAATTCTTGAAATATCAATGTTTAATTGGGAATATTTCATAATTATGGTATATTAGATGAATGAGTCACATAGAATAAGGTTTTTTAAATATTCATACTTATCTGTCTACAAAGTTCACCTTTTTACTCATTTCCTATCCTAGTTTAAAGAGAAAGCCTTTCAGTTCTTCTCCCAGTGTATTTTCTAACCTGTACACAGCATATTGCCAAAGTTTGAAGTGAATCATCCTCCTACATTTGCTCTGCTGCCTGCTCCAATGAAGGAAAGTTAACTGTCATTATCTTGCCATTTACTTGTGAACATGTATATACTTTGTAACACTTCTGATTTAACTTAATGTCTCTCACTTTCCTCTTTTAATTTAGGATACAGAAATGGTTGATTTAGATTCAGATGGTCCTGGAACTTCATCTGGAAGAAGGGTAAGTAAATGTGTGCCTTGCTGAGAACAAAACATTCCCAGGTTTCCTGAGTGGGACTCTTGGAAGCAAATGCATAGCTTAGACGTGGTTTAGGTTTATTACAGCAGTGGGTCGGATATCCAGCCCAATATCAGGAAAAAAGATAGCAAGGACTGGATGAAACCATACAGGTTCCCATATGTTCTCTCTCTCCTATGAGGGGCCATACAACATGCTCTTCTCGCAGCAAAGAAAACAGAAAAACATGTATGTGATTATTGATTCAGTTACCAAGAATTTTACTAGTGACTGGTTATGTAGGCACCTTCTGACTAAGGCATACCGTCATCCCAGATTCCCACAAGAAAAGCAGGCAGTCTACACAGATTATGTTGTTTATACTGTTTAAATAAGCAGTCTTTACAATTCAAGAAGCAGTTCAGGCTCCCAAATACTGGCCACAGGCCAACATTTGAAGTCAAGAGGAGTGGGGAAACATTTGCTTGTCTGTACTCTATTTGCAGTTTAGATCTTCTTAAAAGAAAAATCAGAATACTGGAATTGTTGGCATTCACTTTGTTTTTTTTTATTTTTTGCTAGACAGAATGATTCTTTAAACTAAGAATCTTAAGTAGTAGCCATTGTGTCTTATATAGGTGACTGCCATTAGAATGACGGATATGTTAGCTCAACTAGTTAGAGTTTGACTTTGATAATATTAGGCTTTTATGAGAAAATCAAGGATTAGTTAAGGAAAAATTGATTCTGTTAAATTTGTAGGTCAAATGCCGAGGCAGAAGACAGTCTTCCAAGTGTAATCCTGATGCTTGGAAAAAACAGTGCAAAGAACTACTGAGCCTCATTTATGAACGTGAAGATTCAGAGCCATTTCGACAGCCAGCAGATCCTCAGTCTTACCCAGTAAGCATACCATTGTTTAAATCATTGCCAATAGGATGATTTCCCATTATTTATCCAAGCTAGTATCTATTTATGACCAATTTCCCCAATTCTTTCCTTTTAGCCATAACTTTTTTTTTATCTTTTGTGATTTTTATTTTTCATAGCATAATTCTACAAGTGATGACAAGGTTCATATGGCAGAATCTAGTTCCATCTTAATAGCCATAACTTTTTAAAATAGTTGTTATGGACTTAGTATAGAAATTATACAGTTCCTAAAAGAAATTTGAATCAGCTGAACATGGTGGCAGATGCCTTTAATCCCAGACAGGTGGATAACTGGGAGTTTGAGGGCAGCCTAGTCTTCACAGAGATCCAGGCTAGGCAGGACTCCAGAGTGAGACCCCATCTAAAAGAAAACAAACAAAAACCCCCTTTCTTCTCTTTTCTTTTCTTTTCTTTTCTTTTCTTTTCTTTTCTTTAATGCTTTAACTTATTTGTTTAGGATAGTGTACTAACTTCTAATGGCACCTTTACACACTACAGACTTAGTAACAATATATGGCAGACCTGTTTAATTTATAGTAAATTTGTTTATCAATGTGGCTACTTAGGGTAATCCATATACCAACAATACTTTTCAACAAAGATAACAATATGAAAATTTTGACTATAGAATTAATTTTTACTTTTAAGAAATGGTCTAACTGTATACTCCAGGCTGACATGGGACTACTGTATCCTAATCTGACATTATGCTCCTGTTCCTCCAGCCTTAACTTCCCAAATGCTAGGATTAAAGGCATGCTCTACTTTGCCCTGTAGCTAAGATTCTTTTTATACATATATGACAACTCCATGTACTGTAGACACTTGAGAACATAGTATGTATGTCTTGGAAAAAAGAAGTAACAATATTACATTTAACTAAGTTTGATTTGTTTTTAGGAAGTTTGAGGAGGACACATTAGGCTTGTGTTTTTCAAAGCAGAATATGGTGAATACAGAATTCTTTCAAGTAAAATATCATTTTATTTGTGGATTTTTGAGCCTTGAATCACAGTTTCATTGCAAGTCTTGATACTGCGGAGTGGTGATGTGGAAATGGTCTGTGTTCTTTATTCATACAGGCTCAACAACAGCAAGAAGGAGAACCCTCAGCATCTGCTGTTCCAGATACACAAGATCCATCTCATTCTGAGGTAGGCTTAGGCTGTTTTTGTGGCATTTCATTTGAAAATTTTCACACTGTATGCAAATTTTGTGCAATTTGCTCAATTTGCCTTTTAATTCAACTTAGTTTCTTTTTATACTTTTGTTTAATTTTCCGGTCATTTTAATTTTTTTTGAATCAGCATGTGTTGCATAGTTGTTCTTCATGACATCATATAGTTGTTTATTTGGATATATAGATAGAAAGCCATGCAGCAAAGCTGAGAACATTCAATGTACTATGTTATGTCTGTATCACAGATGATAATTCCCCTACTTTGGTTTCCTTAAATAGTCAGCTGAGTAATTTGAGGTTTTGTCTTCTTATCCATGTTCCGACATTATTCCTTATGAAAATATTAGTGCTTTCTAAGGCATAATCTGTTGGAATGTACTTTCGGTGTTCTTATAATTTAAGGAAATCTATTTAAAGCAATTGTGGTTTTTCATACTTTGGGAAACATTTTCTCTTCTTATAAATACCTTTTCTCTGCCACTTTTTGCTCTTTTTTACTTTAGTGTTAGGTGAAAAATATGGTGGTTTTGCTTCTTAATATTCTAAATAGTGTGAGTGGCTGAATACTTATGTATTTTACTCAAATTCATGTATTCGTGGTAGTAGGAAATACAAGTCTGTTTCAGATATTATCCTATATGATTCCCTAAGAAAAACTTAACTAGCTTGAAAGATTTAAGTTAAAAATTTGATTTTTTTTGTTTCTCCTAATTAAAATAAAACTAAGTTCAGAATCGGTGAGACTGAAAACTTTAGATGAAATAAAAAATCACATTGGTTAAAGATCCAAAAGGAAGCCAAATGTGATGATGCAGAAGCAGAACCCTAGTATTTGGCAGGCTGAGGTGGGAGAATCATGAATTTAAAGCCAGCTTCCACCGCATTTAGAGACAGAGAAGAGGGGTAAGGGCACACGCATGACCAGTTAATTTTGACTTCAACTAAAGACAGTGTATGTGAAATGTCACAAGTCAGAATCTTGGAAATAATGGAAATAATGTAGGTAGTTTGTGGAGTGGAACTATTCAATTATACCTGAATAATCTCTTCGTCTGTCATTAGATAACTTGGCAAGGTATCAGTAACTCAAGCCAGTGACTGACTTTTCTCTTCTAAACCTTTAAACTCATATTATTTTCAGAAGTCTAAAAAGGATTGGTTTGGGAGTGGGAATAAGTAGTTGGTAGACCTAAAAGTAGTGTTTGTGTCAAGATAACTTGCATCAGTGGGTAATGTAATTCTCAGTGCTATTTTATTTAGAATTGTTTTGCAATTTGAGTATTTAAATGTAACACATTATCATTTGTAGGATTATCAAGATGTTATAGACACACCTATGGACTTCAGCACTGTGAAAGAAACTTTGGAATCAGGAAATTATGATAGTCCTCTGGAATTTTATAAAGATGTTCGCCAAATATTCAGCAACTCCAAAGCTTATACTTCTAATAAAAAGTCAAGGGTATGAAACTAATATTAAATGGGCAGTTATGTATTTCAGGCAGTTTTCCTTGCACAGTTTTTAAGATTTGTAAACAAGTATATTCTACTATTTTGACACAATTACTGAGGTTTCATTCTCAGTATCTTTTCTGAATTCCGGATTTTTTTCAAGGCATATGTAAATATACTTTTAGAATAATCATTCTAAAATTAAGCCGCCTTTTCTTTCTCTTATCTAACTCTTCTTTATTCTTTAATGATACTTACATCTGCCAAAGAAAAGACAAAGGACTGAAAGTTAATAATTTAAATACTCAAATCTCTAGTAAATGAACTGATAAATATAAAGGTAGTTGACAATATTAATTTATAGTAAATGTTTTAATTAGCTCTTAATATGCAGATTCCCATTACTATCACAAATAGTGAACCCTATTGGGAAGTTACAACTTTATTCATACTCACATTAAATATTTCCCTATGTATTATCAAAACTGAAAATATCCTGAGAACAAGAAATAGTAACAGTAATCTTTATCTTTTGGAGTCACTAGTGTCCAGTTAACTGTCAAATTAGTTGCAAAGTAGGTGTTTATCTACCTGCTTCAACTTCTGTATATACGGTAACTTTTTACCAGTTTCTCTAGGTGTAAATTTTTTTACATTTGCCTTTTCTTTTTCATCATAATTTTTAGAGTAATACAGTCTCTGTAGAAAGTTTGAAAAATATGGAAAAATATTTTAAACATCACTATCACATTTTTATTTATACATAATATTTAATGTGCTTACTTCTAGGCCTATCTATACTAATACTTAACATTTATATGCTTTTAAAACATTAGGTTTCATATTTCAAGTCATTGTTATATATGTATTACGACTTTAAAATAATTTTATTAATTATTTGAGAATTTCATACAATATATTTTGAACATAATCACTTATTACCCTGTCAAACTCCCATCCCTTTCCACCCAACTTTGAGATTACTTTTTTCTTCTAATTCATTTCTCATCAAGCCAATTTGTGTTGCCCAGATAGTCTTGCAATTAGGGCTTGTTCTGGAGTGTGTGAGACCTTGTTCTGGTCAGCCAACCAGGGGGTCACATCAATAAAAAAATAACTTTCCTACTCCCAGCATCCATTAAATGCTATAGGTCCTCAGCTATTGGTAGGATTACGTATCTCCTGCCCTCTAAGCTGGAATTTTGTCTGTCTGGACCTTGTGCAGGTCTTGTGCATGCATTCACATTCTCTGTGGGTTCATATGTACATCTGTCCTGTTTGTCTACAAAACACTGTTTCCTTGAAGTCATTTATAGCCTCTGGCTCTTACATTCTTTCTACCCTCTCTTCTGTGAAGATCTCTGAGCCTTGGGGTGAGACATGAAAGTCTGATTGGTCTGAACACTTTACCCTTTTGTTTTCTGCACATTGACCAACTGTGGGGCTTGACGTTAAGTGCCATTTGCTGCAAAGAGAAAGTTTCTCTAATGAAGCTTGAGAGATGATCTGATCTATATTTTGGCTGTTGAAAATAAGGGTTTTTTTTTAAAAAAATAATATTCTTTGATCTGATCATTTCATGGTTTATTAGGGTTTTATTGGTTTTGTATTTTACTGTAACATATTGATAGAAAATTTGGAGTTTTAAAAAAATAATTTTCCACTTGATATGAATAACGATTGTAGCTAATGTCTTTAATATCATGGAGCATGTTTATCATGTGTGTACAGTCCCCTGATGGTTCCTTACAACAGATTCCCAGAGGTAAAATCATTAGCCAAAGGATAGGTATATCTTTAAAGTTTTATGGTACATATTTTAAATTGTCTTAGAATACTGGTTCAGTGAAAATTCCCTCCTATAATATAAGAGGATTTTTCCCTCTCTTTCACAGCACTACACATTATCTTTTAAAGTTTTATTTTTTAATAAATGAAAATGACATCTTAATTCCTCAAGAATTTTTCAAATAGTGTGTGTTTTTCATCTGGAATGATGTTCATAATGGTCCAGATATGTTCATACTTTTCTTATAACTAAAGTAATTGCTAAAACAAGGCTGTACTTTTCACCTTTCCAGGTCTATAGCATGACGCTGAGATTGTCTGCCTTATTTGAAAATCACATTAAAAATATCATCTCTGAATATAAGTCAGCAATCCAAAATCAGAAGAGGAGAAGGCCACGGTACAGAAAGCGCCTGAGAAGCAGCAGCAGCTCATTATCTAGCAGTAGAGCTCCTAGGTATATTCTATTGATGTAGCATTTTATGTTTAAAGCGTTGTGTGTGTGTAAAAGTTTATGAATAAATTCAGGATCTCTCAAGGATTCTTATTCCTGTGGAAAGGTATGAATAAATTCAAGATCTCTCAAGGATTCTTATTCCTGTGGAAAGGTGTCGTTTGTAATCCAAAGTACTGTTTATGTGGATTTTCTATGACTTTAAATTTTTATTTTTTTATTTTATTAAATGATTTAAGTTTAACTTTTTAAAATCACCTATTTTAGGCATTTCCCTTGAATTTTAGGCAGTTTACTTTTTGATTACTTTATGAATTTTGTGTCCTAGTATTTATCATATTGAATTACTAACAAAAAGTGAGCATAATTCTATATTTTTTTTTAATTTACAGTCCAAAGGGGAAACAGAAGCAAATGAAGTTACAGCCTAAAAATGACCAGAATACCTCAGTGTCTTATGCCAGGACTAGTTCTCCTTTTTCTTCTCCTGGTAAGTATATCTGTATTTTTTGTGTTCTACAGTTTGATGATAATTAAAGGATATAGAAGTGGTATCACTGTATATTGTAGTGCAAAGAGCAATAGATTTAGATTTAGAAAAATTGCATTTTAATCAATATTCTACTTGATAGCTATATGACCCTCCAGAAAGACGTTAGGTAATGTTATTTGGTTTCTTTGTTTAACTAGGTGATTTTACTAAATCATTTTTTAACAATTTATTTTTTGTTTATAAGTGTTTTGCCTACATGTGTGTTCGTGCACCATGTGCATGCTTGATACACGCAGAGGCCAGAAGAGGGTATCTGATCCCCTGAAACTGGAATTACAGATGGTTGTGAGTTGGCATGTGGGTGCTGGGAATCTACCTTGGATCCTATGGAAGAGCAACAAATTTTCTTAAATGCTGAGCCATCTCTCTCTAACACCTAACTAGATGAATCTATATGTTCCTTTGAAAGTTCTATCACTATAAGATTTTTGCTATCTGTAATATTTCAAAGAATTTGTACAATATAGTAGTCAATGTAAGACTTGAAGATTAAAACGGTGATGGGGTGTTTCCTTCGGTGGGTTTTTTTTTTGACATTTTGTGATTGAAAATTTAGTAATGATAAATTATTTCTTTTTTGTTGTCAAATATTCTAATTTACTTTAGGGGGTGGGCTTTAGGGTGTTGCTAAGTAGCCATGGTCGATATCAAACTCACTGTTCTCCTAGCTGAGTTCCCGGAAAGTTGGGAATATACATCTGCTACCAGTTGTAAAGCAACTTTTAATTTACTCATGAAGTAGTGAAGGTAGAGTTTTAAAAGCAGCCTGTGAAAACTGCAACTATGTTAACAATACCAACTTTTTAAATGTAAGTTTCAGATGCCGCTGAAGGTGTTTCACTATATCTACTTGATGATGAAGGAGATGGGCCATTTTCTCCATCGAGTTTCAGTGGATATAGCAGAAGTGGAAATAGCCATGACCCAGGGAAAACCAAATCATTTCGTAATAGAGTTTTACCAGTTAAACAAGGTAGGAAATTGAATATTAGAGAGGTACCTTATTCTCTATTTTCTCATGGTAGATGATGAGTCATAATAACAGCTGATGTATTAGGGTAAAAGAACTAGTATGTCTTAGTACTTAATAAGAATTGGAATATAGCCAAATTAGGTCAAAAGGAATTTTATAACCACAATTAGAAACAGATGTCTAGTAATTACTTTTGAGCAAAATATAAAATGAAATCAATGAGAAAAAAACTAATGAAGAATTCTTCTCCCAAGTGCATAAGAACCAGACTGTCAGAAACATTTAGGATTTTTCATATATTGAACCATGTCAATAAGAAATGAAAAAGACTCAAAAGTCGTATTTTAAAAGGTCTTCTTAGAGGCTATTCCAATAACTATATTTGAAGAAAAAAAGTGCTTATAAAAATCATTGACCTAGCCAGGCATTGGTGGCTCATGCCTTTAATCCCAGTATTTGGGAGGCAGAGGCAGGCAGATCTCTGTGAGTTCGAGGCCAGCCTGGTCTCCAGAGCAAATGCCAGGATAGGCTCTTATATATATCCCACTTTGTAATTTTCTTCTCTCTGATTCTGTTGCATTGTTTATACTTATGCTGCAGACTTCCTCACTGTTCTTCATGGGAAAAGCTTATAGATAGAGTAGCCCATATTTCCTACATCTTCTTTCATCCAGGACCCTTTATCCTTTATAGCCTAGTTTCTGTGCCAGGCATTCTCCAAAAAGCTGTTCTCCCCAAATCACCAGTAGTATAGACTGCCCAACCAGTGTTCCTTTTCTTAGTACCTGACTTCTTGATCTATGTGTCACTGGACACTCTCCCACCTCCTCTCTAAGCTCTTTTTTTTACAGGCTTATAGACTTACTGGTATTCCTATATAGTTGCTTTTCTTTATTTGTTCTGAACTTTATTTGCAGTTTTCTGTGATTTTTAGCTCACTTGATTTTTGGCTCCTGCAAATAAAGTACTCTGATAGATCTGTTGACTAAACAAGTCATCATATTTTTTATGGCCCAGAGTCTTACTATGTATGTAGTTCTTAGATGATGGATGTGGAACTCACTATGAAGACCTGCTGGCCACATACTCAAGAGTTTTGCCTGCCTCTGCCTGCTGAGTGCTGGGATTAAAGGCATGTGCCGCCATTTCCAGTAAATCAGTCTTCTTGATGCTAGTGGCTCTGTAAATGTATCAACACAAACATTTGTTCATTCTACATTTGTTCAGTCTCATTTCCAGTACTTCCTAAAAATAAGTTTCATTCATGTTCATATTGTCTCAAGGTCATCCTTTGCATTCAACTGAAATCTCTTGGTTTTAAAGGTCTGCTCCCACTATGTAATCTAAGCTCACCTCAAATTATTTATCTTTCTGACTTAGCCTCCAGAATACTGAAGTTTGAAGTATGTACCACCATGCCCTACTCAGTAATTTTAACTCTCCATTTACCTCTCACATCCACATAGTTATAAAGCCTTATCTTTTTAAACGTGTGTTTAACATTGTGTGTCTATGTTTGTGGGTTTGTACACAGCAGCACAGTGCCATAGAGGCCAGAAGACAGAATCAGATTCCCTGGAGCTGTAGAATAGGCAGCTTTGAGCTGCCCATGTGGGTGGGAACTGAACTCTGCAAGACCAGCAATCCGGCTTCGCTGTCTCTCCAGTCCCTCTATAACTCTTTACTACTACTGAGATATCTTATCTCCTGTTTTTGTGACACCAGCTTAGTCTCTAGCTGAGGGTATTAGTCACTTTAGACAGCCATAACAAGATCCCAGTGTGAGCAGCTTAAACAACAGACTTCCATTTTCCCACAGTTCTGGAGGCTTAAGTCCAAGAAACCAAGGTTCATGGAGATTGTTATCTAACAAGAACTTTGATTTCCTCAGGCTTATAGAATCCCACATTTAAGTTGTATCCCTTGTAGCCATTTGTCTGTCTCTATATTTCTGTTTCTCTGTGTGTTCCTCTGTTGCTACTCCCACCCCCAACGGTCAGGGGTGTGTGTGTGTGTGTGTGTGTGTGTGTGTGTGTGTGTGTGCGTGTTGGGGGATGTAGCGAGATAGAAAGAAACTTAGAAACATCCATGTCTCTTCCTTTTTCAGTAACACTTAGATCTTGGTTAACCTTCGTTACTTCATAAAAGACTCAGTCTCCAAATGAAGGCACTTTGGGAGTTAGGGCCTCAGTGTAGGAATTTTATCTTTAAGTATTAGGATAACATAGCTTGCTTTCCTCCTATTTTCTTTCCCTTTATTTTCTCTCCATAGACTGAAAATTTCCAGAATTCTCTCTCTTGCTCCATAGTCTTATGAGATCCAGCTTGTATGCCTACATGATTTTTCGTTTCTTTTTAGGTATGCTTATACCTATGCAAGTGTGTATCAGGAGCTGAACCCAGGGTTTCATGCATGCTAAGCATATTGCCATTGAACTACCCTCTTAATCCCTGTTTGTTTTTTCATGTCTTTTGTAAGATGTCTACTGACATCTAAAACTAGAAGACTTGACTTTCTCTTAGCACATTGCCCAAACTTGTTCAGTCTTCAGTATTTCCCAAATTAGCCAATATTTCTGCCTATTACCCAGTTTCTTAGACTATAAAGTCTAAGCAATACACTGTTTTGTTCTTAGTATTTGACATTGAAATTCCCTCAGCAGGTCCCATTGTTTCCACCTTTGAAATAAAAGATTGACTCTGGTGGGCCTTCTAGGAGGAAACGTTCTAATAGATTAGATACCACTTCTTGACACTTCATATCTTACCTAGACTATTGACTGCAGACATCTTTTAGCTGATCTCTGCTTCTGTTTAACCACCTCTACAATCTGTTCTCTATATCACATCAGTAATGTTTCTTAAATGTAAATCAGATGTTGTCTTTCTCTAATCATCTCCTACCATTTCATTTTTCAGTGCCATCCTGGCTAAACTGGATTTCCTTAGTTCTTTTTCTAGTGCTCGAATTTCCCCCCATTTCACTTTATTAATTCTTTATTTAAATAGTACATCCTAAGAGGCATCTCATTATTCTAAATAGCACCCCAAAACACAGCCAAATATTTTTGCTCTTATTTTCATTCTTTAGCATTCATCTCTACTTAAAAGTGCATTAGTTATTTATTCACTTTGTTTCCAGCCAAACTGTCCCCAGTAACATGAATTATGGTATATGATAGCAAGGACTTTGTTTCATTTATCATCAAGTTCCAACCTCCCACTGATACCTGTTCTATACTGGTTAATTGCTAAGTGAATGAAACTTGCAATTTATGCTTCCTTATAATTCTTGTTAAGTTTATGCTAAAATTTGTCCAGATAGCCTAACAATCCTTCAGCCTTTTTTTTTTTTTAAACTTCAAAAGAAGCCGTGGAACAAGAATCAAAACTTTAGATTTCACTTTAAATAGATCTAAGTATCTATTCCAACACCTTTGATTCTGTCCAATCAGTTTTGGGCACTAATATTTTTAACAGATTATTTTGATTTTGAGTCCGAATGCATTTTACAATGTCGAGCCTTAATTTTTAAAAATCATTCATTTTACTTTAGATCACTCCGCCGATGGGCCTCTTACAAATGGTGATGGCAGAGAGCCCCGAACAGGAGCCAAAAGAAAGCTACTCAGTGCGTCAGAAGAGGACGAAAGCATGGGAGGAGAAGAAAAGGAGCTGAAAGAAACAAAAGAAAAAGCACATTTATCCTCCTCAGAGAGTGGAGAGTTAGGATCCAGTCTAAGTTCAGAAAGTACCTGTGGCTCTGACTCTGACTCTGAATCTACTTCCAGAACAGATCAAGATTATGTAGATGGAGATCATGACTATAGCAAATTCATACAAACCAGACCTAAAAGAAAACTCCGGAAACAGCATGCCAATGGAAAACGAAACTGGAAGATGAGAGGCACAGGAGGAAGAGGCAGATGGGGAAGATGGGGAAGATGGAGTAGAGGAGGCAGAGGACGAGGTGGCAGGGGACGAGGGGGTCGAGGAAGAGGTGGAGGTGGGGGGAGAGGGAGAGGCCGAGGGAGAGGAGGGAGAGGTGCCTCTAGAGGAGCCACCAGAGCCAAACGAGCACGGGTTGCAGATGATGAATTTGATACCATGTTTTCAGGACGTTTCAGTAGACTTCCTCGGATTAAAACAAGAAACCAAGGCAGGAGGACTGTTTTATATAACGATGATTCAGATAATGACAATTTTGTGTCCACTGAGGATCCTCTGAATCTTGGTACATCCAGATCAGGCAGAGTACGTAAAATGACAGAAAAAGCCAGGGTTAGCCATCTCATGGGATGGAATTATTAACAGTGAATTAATTTAGAGTAATTTTTAAAAATAAAATCAATGGCCTTCTACTGCAGGGAATTTACCAGAAAATCTACAAAGCAAGTTGTGTGGGGACTTCTGCTTCCTTTCACATTGGTGCTTTTCCATTATGCCAGTATACATTTGTTTCAAGACTTTTAATCTCCACACTTCATTTATTCAAACAAGCCTTACTCATTAGGCCTTAAATTAAAACAAATTCTTCCCACACATATACATGTGTGCACATACACATGCGTGGACATGCGCACACAAATGCACACACACACACACACACACACACACATGCACACATGCACACACGCACACACGCACACACACACACACACACACACCACAGACACACTACAGATTTACTACATTAAAGGAGCATTCTGCTTCTTAAGAGTAGCATGACATTTTTATCTCAATAAGATAGCCCTCTTTGCTTTTGTATCACAGAAGTATAGCACCTTCTTACAGAGTTTTATATAGTTTGTTTTTGCCATTTTGATTCCTATACCCAGTAATAATAACTTTTGCACAATACACCAATCCTAAAGGCAGCTATTAAATGTTTACAGTTTCTATATTGTAAGAACGATCTGGATTATTTTACTCTTCCCAGGCCAAACTTTCATGAACTGTACTGAACTGAAGTATATATTTATACTGCAGTTTTGGGGTGGGGTGGGGGGGTATCTTGATAAGCTTTTCATTGATTTGCTTAAATTCACGTTTAAGGTGAGAAAGGGTTGGTGCCTTGTAAATATGTAGCAAATCTTTGTGGTGTGTCCTGATGTGTGCATTAACTTTATTAAAAGAGAATACTTGAGGTATCAATCTAGACAAGGTGCCAAATGCAAAAGTTTCTTGCATCCATTTTTCTTTTCCTGTTATATTTTATTGCATTAATAGAAACTTATGTAGCTTAATAGTAACTTAAACATTTGAAAAAAATCCTCATCCACAAAGAATAACTTCTTTGAACAGTAGCTCAGCTACCTCTATTAACTACAACTACTGGAAATGCTAAGGAAAATAGATGCTGTTACTCTTACTAAGGAGAAATAGAACAAGCTTGGTAGGGATGAATACTCCTAAGTTATAAGCTGAGAATTTTCAGTAATCATATTGGCTCTCAAATGAATAGATGTAACAAATTTCCTAAGTATTATATGCTCTAGGCTTTTGTAGAACATATTTATGTAAGTAGACTTGTTCTACTGCTCATCTATCTCTGCAACCACTTACTTTTTAACAGCTGTGAGTTACTGGTTTTCATTTGAGTCTCAAAAGGTAACAAAGCACCTAACTTGAGTTGTACTATTTTGGCTAGCTAATACTTGGAATCAAGTTTAATGGGTTCTTCTCTTCTCATTCCAAAGGGTTCTTCTGTTCTAGACTTCCAGAAAAGAGCCTCATTGCACTGCAAACAGACATTTTAAATCATTATTTTATAGTTGAGAAAAAAATCTTTAAAATCATTTAAGGTCTTGTTTACAGCAATAGAGTGCACATGGTTCCATAAGTGAGCTTCAGTTCTACGATCAATTGTATTCCTCAACTTTGATATCACAGTTGTGCTCCTTGGTTAGATACTTACATTCTTGAAGTGGGAGGGATAACAATTGATCTCTGCTTTTGTAACAGCAATTCTGTTGCACTTAGATCAGACTTATGTGACAAAACATTTCCTTAATGTATACCTGCTAGTCCAGGATATTTCTTACGCTGACATGTTTGTTTCACGCTTTCAATCATTTCATGCATCTGAAAATCTGTTAAGTGCTGAGGAAGGAGTGCACACATAACTTTGCTTTTGGTGGGGTTGGGGGGTTATTCTTGAACTAATACCCTTAAGCAATTTTCACTTGCAGTAGAAATGATGTTCGGGCTTTAAGAAAGTATAATGAACTGTTAATGGCACTAATGTCTGTTGCTAGAGAGCAGACCAAGCTGATATTTTTGTTGTTATTTTTCTTCACTATACCAAAACTATTTCTGGTTACAACTCAGCTGCCATTTTAACCATAGTATAGATTGAAAATATTCCCATTTTGAGAGTCTACATTTGATTTTTACTAAAATATACTATTTCAGTTATTCATCTCTTGGGCATTTAGACTAAATTGTGCCTACGTTTTCCTGGAGTCAGTAACATTTGTCCTACAACAACCAACATAATATAGTTGCTTAAATTCCTGGATATACCCAAATATGTATCATGTGTACCATTGTAGTGTGAAATTTTTGTTGACATTCTTCTATGAAGAGCTGACCTCTTGAAATGTAGAAGAATTACCATTTGTGTGATGTTAGCTGTCTGGAGCTTTATTTATAATTTATTTTGAAAAATAAGAATGCCACATTTATTTCCCCAAATGTCAAGATTTTCTAGGCTTACATAATTAGCATAATAAGGCTAAAGACATTTTAAAGCATATTTTATATGTAGTGAAATACTGTGAAATACTAGTGAACAGCATTTTGCTGTGATGTTGATTTCAGTTCTTAGAATATAAAGAGTTAGTCACCAGGGTATGTTAGGTGAACATAGTTATCATTTATTATAAAACAAACAGATAATTTTCTGTTTGCATGCAAATTATTTTCATAAGTATGAAAATAAAAGTCTGGGAAGTTTTTACTTTTTTAAATCTGGATTTCCCCCTTTCCTCAATTTATATTTTAGGTTTTTTAACAATGCTTCCTACAAATGTCATAATTTGTATCATATTGAATACTTTGTTGTTTCAGGTATCTAGAGATCTTTTAAACCTAAATGAGATCTGGGTTCAGCCATAGCAAAGAAAGTAGGGAATGAGTTAAGAATTCTGCAAATAAAGACCACTGTTCTATTTAGGCCCATGAGAGCATACACATGTATAAGTTTAATCCTATGCTATATCTGAATAATCAGTAAGCTATAATATTTCTCATAAATGCTAATGTTCAGATTCTGAGCTTTATGATCTTAGCATGTGTATATGTTTATAAAACTGAATCATATTTCTTCTCTGGCTTGCTGTATGTATCTCATCTAGCAATAGGATGCTCTCCAAAACACTCACAAACCTACTAGCCTACTAACTAAATTTGTTCTTGTATAAGTGTTTGTGTACTTGTACGTATGTAGCTTCTTTCCAGTTTGACATACCTTATCCCAGACATTATAAAAGAGAATAGTTTATATGGAGGACCCTGTCTACCAATTATTTGCCTCGTTAGAGCTCAATCTGTGCATTTATTAATGCTTAGTCATCCATGTCTTCATGTCTTTTAGATAACTGATTCTGATTTTGTCATATAACTATGCCCCTCTATTCCTTTAATTTAATTTGCCCTTTTACTTGTTTGTTTTTTCTCTTTCCCTCCCCAGAAATCAGGCTTGTTAGTGTTTTGTTTCACCCTGAGGCAAAGCAACTGAGTAAAATTCCCAAGTTTTATTCTACACAATTGAGTTCTCATACATCTAAATTAGTTTTCAGATATTTTAAGGTAGATGTTATCAGACAATACAGTGAGTAAAAGAGAAAGATGTGAATACTACTTATTTTTAATAAACCATTTTTGAGCATTTTTCAAAATCTGTAAGTGTGGTAATGATACACATCATTATATGCACATATGCCAACTGGTACTTATCTTTACAGTTGAATTTTCATGCCCTGAAACAGGAATCTTAAAACATATGATTTTCACTCACTTTGATGCCCAGCCATTTAGGCAATTACAATAACATTTGAAAATCTGAAATTAATAGTTCTGGGGGAAGGAATAAGACTTTTGATATTTAAAGTCCTTTATTTTAAATGCTAACCACATTCCACAACATCTTTGTGGTATGAAAGGTTTTTATGAATGTTTCGTTGAAAACATTCTAAGATCCTTTTAAAGCTTTTTTTTTAAAACTAATGGTGAAATATTTGCATGCTGTTTTTACTTTACATCTCTTAGCAAAGTTTCTTCACCAAGTGTTAATTTATCACATTTACAAAGTTTGGGTTAAAATCCAGTACAGAGTTAAATATTTTCATGGTGCTGTATTTTGTGGAACATGGATAGCACTCAGGTTTCTTGATATTTATTCCTTAATATAGTCTTATAGTCCTTGAGTATTTCTTTTGTCATCTTTCCTCTCGTGCTTGATCTTATCTCCACTTCTCTTTCTGCAATGAAGACTGCACTTGACGTAGCATACTTCAACCAGACTGGAAATTTCTGATTCATTTCTGAGAGAAGTACACTAGAAAGGCCCTGCAGTTTAGAGTTAAGGTGTGTTTATTTATATGTATGCCCATTTCTTATTCTTATACCTATCTTAATTAAATCTAGAATATGGGACTTAGACATATAAAAGCATGGTAATTATTTTCTAAAAAAATAAAATTATTGATACATATTGAGATCGTCATTAGTAATTTTAAAATCCCATATCGAGATACCTAGGAACCCAGTTGGAAAATGTGTTTCTTGCATATGTCACCAAATATACATTAGGCAGTACTACAAATGTTAATTCTTTAAACAATACTGTGGTGATGGCAATCAGTAATTTATTTCTTTGTTCTGTAACTTATCATCCCCGTCTTTTGTAATCCTTTACACAGTATTAACAAAACTGTACTTTATGTTTGTTCTTAGTGTCCATAAATTTTAAGATGGAAAAACATTCATTTAATAGTTGGTATGATGCTGTATATGGGCAGAACGTCCATTAAACAAAAATCCAGTGGGGAAAAAGGTAAACAAACCTGGCTTGGTTTATAAAAGATGTTTTGTTTGGCAGTTGTCAGTCATTATAAGCAATTACCTTCAAAGACAAAAAAAAATATACTGGACTAATTTGTTGCCATTCTTTATGGGATGTTTACAATAAAATTCCAAGTTGTTTGGAATCAGTTGCACTCTCGCTGCTTTATGCCTTAACTCATACTAGAGATAAATTAACAAGACAAAGAAATATAAGAAATCTGAAGTTAACCTTTCTACTACCCAGCTTTAGAGATTGTACCATGTGATCATTGGTCTTCTTTGCCATACGATATTTTATTACTATTATTTTTTAATCTTAGAAACTGAGTTGCTTCCTATGAAAGAAAAGATGTTTCCTAGTTCTTGCTGATATTCTTTGGACCACCTTTCGGTAATCAGTATGATGTTAACACTTTAAAATGTGGGCTGCTTGATGCCTTAAAACAGTAGCCTCCAAAGCACTAGTCAGCTCATTGATTGGCAGAGGTTCTTGAGATGGATGGATTTCTAATATATTGTTAAATTTTCACAGCTGAGCTATGGGTACCTAGTGCTTTTTATCTGGGGTTAAATTGCCAATCACCTTTGAATTGGATGTAAATCTAGGAGAGAGAGAAATGAAGTGAGATAGGATCTGAACCTTTTACTAGGAACAGTCATCTTTGGCTTTTAATTTATCTCCACAAGTATTCTCCCCATGTCAAGAATTCTACCAAGTACAAGATAAATAAGCTGGCTAAAGACTGCTCTTCATCATTCATATGTAAGCTGTCTGTTTCGTGTTTTTATAATTAAATGAGATGACTCAATACAAGTCACCTCTTTTCTGGCAGTGGATCCATTTACTGACAGCCCAATTTTCACAATACCCTGATTGAGGTCTGGGGATACTTGTTATTTTTGTCTAGCTGTTTGATTGCTTAAAAATAGACCTCTTTTACAATGTAAATTTGTTACATTAAAAATTCTTTGGTAGCAGGCTTCGGTATTTTCTTCACTTGCTCGGTTTCTTAAATAGAAAAAGAATTTTTATGACAGAACTTCACTGAAGTATTCAAAGATTGTTTGCCTTGCTGAGAAGATCAAAAGAAGTGCTGTTTACCCTCTCTATATTATTTACCACTTACTTAAAGCTTCTTTCCAAAAATGCAGAAAATACATTGAAACTAATACATTGAGCTTGTGAGTTAATTTTTACATGGAACTTTTGGTGCTATATTGAAGCTCATGTACTTCTTTTACTGTCTCGAATTTTTTTATATACGTACTTCAGGCATTTTATGATACATAATGCTGGTAGACCAAATATAATATTAAATAAAATAAAATTTTCATGGTGTCATTTTTCCCAAAAAATTTTGGAGTAACATTTTCTCTCGTTTTGTAACTTTTTAGTAACTTTTCCTTGCCATCTGTGGTAACTGACTTAATAAACTTACTTCTCACCTGCAGAAGAGTATAAACATCTAGTAGCATACTGGATGTTAGCATACTAATCTTAAGGACTTTCAAATCTCTGTGATCCTAACATGCTTTCATTAATTTGTAAAGTTCTACTTAATAACTTGCCTGCTCAGTGCCCTTAGAGTCTCCAATTTTATAAATTTTCTTGCAAACATTTTAAATAAAAACATTTCAAATCATTTAATGCAGGTTATTAATATTAATTGATAACGAGTTTTATTCATTCCTAGAGGTGTTGTGTGGTTCCTTTTTGTCCTGTTAAAATTCTAACTAGAATTTGTATAGTAGTATGTTAATTTGTACTAGGGATTTTGTGGACTCTGTCAAGTACTTCATGGATGGAAACTTGTCATAAGGTATTTCTAGTTTGTTGTTTTACAAAATGTCATTTTGAATGAAATATGCCTCCCAAATTGTATAATAGACATTTTAACAGGAGATTTTGTTACCCTTGGGCATTGTTCATTTAAAATGTCAGTGATGAAGTGCTGATAGTTCTGGATTGTTTCCATATGTTAAGTTTATAAATTAGAGCCACCCTTGTATAAAAAAAAATAACTGTTATTTGATCTAATCTGACCTCATAACATATATTGTCCTTGACAGCTTTAGTTACTAAATCTTTTATCACATACTTCTAATTGTAAACTGAAAAATTGTCAGGGATCAAGTCACATTCTTTCTCTGGAGTTGTGTAGTGATTTTCTTCCTATATATCATTTACCAGGAGGAGTTGGAAACCTGTAGCCTTTGTATTAGTAACAAGAAATGGCAGCAGAAAAATGGCACAGTTTCTAGGATTATTCATCTGCACCTTCTGTGTTTTTAGCACTGTAATTTTTAAAAAGCGTTAGAGCATTAGAGTTTAAAAAATTTATCCCTCAAATACAGTCTCAAATACCAGAAAGACTATCTATTGATTCGCATTTTCATTTGAAAGAAAAAAATACGTTTCAGTAAAAACAAGCAGTTTGCGTAGGTCCAAGTAGCTAGTAAATCAAAAAGTATATAAAAAAGCCTTGATTCACTGTGGTGGGTGGTGGTGGCACACACCTCTAATCCCAACACTCAGATGCAGGGACAGGGGGATCTCTGAGATCAGCCTGGTGTACAGAGCCAGTTCCAGGACACCCAGGGTTACACAGAGCAACCCTGTCTCAAAAAACAAAATACCTTGATTCATCCAGGGTACCTACTTCTAGTTTTTCTTTATTTCCACTGGCTTCCTTCCTAACTATGAAATAGAGAGTCCTAAGTCATGAATGCAAGTGTAACCTAAAGAAAACTTTTCTGTTTGCTTTTGGTTCAGGTATTTCCCAGTTTTAGTATATGTGCTGCCAAAGTGAACATATGGTTCAGAATTTCAATGAGGATGTTCACTGAGTTGTGTCTTCAAAGTGCCTTTCTCTTTTGGGGACATGGTGGTTACAGGGTCTGCTGCCATATGTAATGTGAGTCACGGGATTGTTACTGATATTTCTGATGCTGTTTTATCCACCCTGTTCATTGAGCTGATGAGAACTACCATGACTGAAGAGTCATGACATGGTACTGTGTAGTGGTCTCTTTTCCATTCTTTGGTAACTAGAGGGAGTGGACCTGGCAGAGTGTCATTTCATTATGCTGTAAAATGATCTGACAAGGCTAACAAAAGGAGAGCGAATCTGCTCAGGTTCAGGAAGAAGGTTCTAATCCCTGTAAAACGGGAAAAGCTGGGTAGGTAAGGTATGGTAAGTCCAGATACTTAGTCAAATAAGTTGTGGGTAATAGAGTGTGCTCAGTGAGAAGAGGAACAGTAGAGGAAATGTGAGAAGGCCTTGGGACTCTAAAAGACAGGTTGTAATCAGTAGTGGTGCACATTCATATTTTAGTAAAGAATCCCTGTAGGTAGAGAGAACACAAAATCAGTCTAGCTTAAGAAAAATCAGTGAATGAGTTGGCAAGCAACAATGATGTCAGCCCAAATATGCAGCTGAATGAATCACTTGTAAAGGTTCTTAATTTTTTTCCCCTTAGAGCAGTGGTTCTCAACCTTCCTAATGCTGCATGAGACCCTTTAATACAGTTCCGCATGTGGTGGTGCTCCCCAGACATAAAATTATTTTGTTGCTACTTCATAACTGTCTTTTTGCTACTGTTTTGAATCATAATGTAAATATCTGACATGCAGGATATCTGATAATACAACCCCAAAGGTTGAGAACCACTCACTGCCTTAGAGTTTGACACCATGAAGAATTAACTTGGACATTGTACCCTAACAACGGAGCATTCTCGGTACCCCTAGCCCAAGACTGGCTTCATGCACGTCAGTGGGACTATAGTTTACTGTAGTTAGCCTTCTGGTCTGGAAATTTGCCAGTGGGGCTGTGAAATATTTTTTGTTATTACAATCCTGTCCCACTGACCACATCAGAGGTAATTTGTTTTTAAAAAATTCTCAGCCACGAGAAATTTACCTCTAGGCAAGTAGTGATCGTGAAAATATTTACAGTTTTACTAGTTCATAGGATACTAAGTTTAAAGTATAAAAAGCAGTGAAATTTTAAAGTCTGCGCATCAATATAAATGTCTACAAAAATAAATGCACAAGAAGGTTAAGAATTTGTAGAGGAATTACTTAAATTAGGAAAACTGAATGTACAAGTGTGCTTTATACTGTTAGACTAAATGCCAGTTCTTGTTACCTTCCAAACTATACGTACCAGGGCATACTTGAAATTTTTGTTTTTCTTCTAAGAGGTCATATGAGTTTCATCTAAAAGTTCTTAGAAAATACAAGGTTTTATGACTAACTACTCTCTGGGCCTAATTAGGATATCCCCTGCTTTGGGCCACCTCAGATTTTTCTCCCCTCTCTCTTTATAGCCTCATATTTTACAATTTGTTGCAGTATCCAAACTGTCCAAGACAAATAAGATTATTTCATTAAGAAAACATTACCATTCCTTTTTTATATTCTGTACTTTGGGATGCTTTTAATAATTTCTTTTTCTACATAACACTGGGCAGGGATGATCATTGGTAAGGGTTTGATTATGCATGTGGATAAAGTAAATTGAACCACCAAATCCCATAACAATTTTGGCCTGATATATATGGTCACATGGGAAATTTTCAAATAATTATGCTAAGGACTCATGCTTGCTGACTTCAGTCTCATGATGTTTTGCAATGTATTTTTATTTATTGTTTTTTGAGACAGAATTTCTCCACAGCTCTGGCTGTCCTGGAACTCTATCTGTAGACCAGGCTGCCTGGAACTCACAGAGATCCTCCTGCCTCTGTCTCCTACCCCCAGTGCTGGGATTAAAAGTGTGTGCCACCACTCCTGACTTTGCAGTGGAGTTTTAAAATCCTCCAGGGCTGCTCCACTTGCATTTGGTTAGAATATATCTTATTTTATGGTGCCACAGTTTCCCTTCTAAACACCTGCTTGTCCTTATCCCATCCAAGGAGGATAAGTATTGGTTCCAACAGATAGCTTATGAAATTCTGATAGTAAAAAAGGGGGGAATAGAACATAGCATATTAATTTTCTGTGCCTCCTTTATAGAAAGTCATTTCCAGTCTGTTGTCACCCTCAAAGTAGACCACAGCAATTTCTATTGTGCCTCTTCATACTAATACTTACCTTTGCTTGCATTAATAGAATAGAGCTGAGAAATCTGCTCATTGTGCTGCAATTAGATACCATCCTGTGCTCTGCCCTGTATGTCTCACAGTTTGTCTTTACATGGAAGTTCCCATGTCAGCAGCATCTAAGCTTGTTCCTAGATTTTCTCTTAACAATTAGGAGACAGAAATTGACAGAAGCAGATGGCCTTTTTTCAGTTTTTGCCATTACTGGGCAAAAAGAAATTCTCATTTCCCTCTGCCTTGCCCTTAGTGATACACACGATATTAAGCTAAGATATAGGAATGTGTAGATTTGGCTGAGTGACAAGTTCTCCCTTGAGTAGCCTATCCTCATCCCTGGGCATGGAATTTCTTGGAGAAATTCTAACCCTTAGTGCCCCCGACCTTAGGAGAGGCAAGGGGAGACAGAAAGTAAGAAGACACCTTAAGGTCTCTAAGATTCATCTCAGAACAGAGGCTGGCAGTTTTTTTTTTGGGGGGGAGGGGTAATAAAGAGTAAAAAATCTTCAGTGTTGAGTGGATGTAATTTGTTCCCAAACAGCAGCCTCAGATTCAAATCACTGAATATAACAGTGTCTCTGTATTTTTGCTCTGGAATGGATGAGAATAGGATATTTACATTTATTAGTGGTAATCTGTAGTGTTTTAATGTCTGAATTTTTGTATTACTTGTAATAGGCTTCCCAGAGTATAGTCATTATCATTAACCCCATTTAGAGATGAAGAACTTGCATAAGAAAGCAAAGTTGCTAAGTTCTTGCTAGCACTAAATGGCAAGATTTCCACTTGGATCTTACCAAGGGCTGTGGACTTGTCTACTCAGAAATTTGCTGAGTTGCTTTGGCCAAGCCTCTTGTTTTCCTTGGTTCTGGTGGTTGTTATCTGTTCAAGGTTAAAATTGAACATTAACTTCTAAGGGGCTCCTTGTTCTGTTCTTTGAACTCCCTTGCTTGTTCTTTTTGTATCTTCTTAATCTCTAAACTGAACTGCTCTTGAAGGTTCGTCATTCTCAGGAGCTTGCTAAGCCCCATATCCTGGTTAAAGTAACTTATTTAAAGGTAAATCTCCCTGAAGTATTTGGTAGACTTCACATTTCATAATGAAAGTGTATCAAATACAGTTTCAGACATGTAAGGTATTGAAAATTGACTACTGACAGCAACATGAACGCCAATGACTTCCTTCTCAGGAAAACTTGTGGGAAATAATTTTGAAATCACTACAAAGTGCTGGAAAAGGCCCAAAGGACAAACAGAAAATAGACAAAACTATTCAAGAAAGTCTATGAAAATTCATTACATTAAATGAAAACCGAATATTTAAGCTCCTACACGCACTTTCTTCCTGGTTGGTGGATATATCAATACTCATGGGCCTTGTGCTCTGCTCAAAAACTGAAATTCTGTCTTCTGGCTGCAGCCTCAGATGCCAGGCCCCGATAACCCTTGCCCCAGCTCATGACATATTTAAATACCATGAGAAAACCTCAGCTACTGCCCAGCCCCTGCTAAATGCTCAGCTCCCAGAAAGTATGTGTGTG